TTGCGAAGCTGCCCGCAGCCTCTGCGGCGCCGGTTCGATCCCCGGCTGCTCCCCGGCCACCAAAGGAGGGTCCCACATGGCACGCAGACCTCTCCTGCCGCCCACTGCTCCCCTCAGCAGTGTACTTCGGTCCTTCTGCCTGCTCTGCTCCCCGCTCTGGTGAATTCTCTCGCCTTCCCGCACTTCTGACTGTGCCCAGTGCTTGTATGTATAAACAAACAAACAAATAAATAAATAAATAATAAATCTTTAAAAAAAAAAAAAATAAAAAAAATAAAAAGTATCCTAAACTTTTAAATTTCTTTTTCTAATTAGCTAGTTATAAAATGACAAGAAAAATATTAACCACTGAGTTTGCCACTTTTTGATAGTACATTTACCACTTCTTTGGCAAATAAAGAGCAAATTGCCAACTAAAGTTCTCTCTAAATTTTGCAAACCAGAGCTGTCCAGTTCTATTTTTCTGGCAGGGGCTACGACTCCTGCTTCTTTTGAAGTATTTTGTCTTCATTTCTAAATGCAAATCCTTGCAAAAAGAGGAAAAGGGCCACACAGAATTTTACATCCACACTACTACATTTGTAAAATGGAGCAAATTTAAAGTTAATAAGCAGACTGTGGAACTTGGTATGTCTGCTTTCCTTGCTCTCAAGAAGGTGAAAGCATCCTACTGATGTGAATGGAGAAAATTAAAGTATTGAAAACTCTACAGATATTCTAACTCTTACTATGATTTCTAGTTCAAATGATAAAGCCTATATATATATATATATATATATATATAAATAAATTGAGGTCTCGCTTAAATGAACCCATTGATGAAAATCTAACCATAAATCAGAATGCTAATTCCTATTAGTAATCTGGGATGAGTATATTAGCTCTAGAATTTCTTCTACTGTCAAAATGAGCAAAAACTCATTGTCCAAACTAGGAGTTTTCAAACTTTTATGTACACAAAACCACAAAAGTGGCTTTTGAAAGTCAGATTCCCTGTGCTCTACTTCCAGACACTAGTCACTTGGGAGCTGGGGATAAGGAGCGGCATCTAGGAGTTTGCATTTCCAACAAGCTGTTCTGGTGATTCCAATGTTGTCTGATGTGAGTCTCCCAAAGGCTGCAAAAGGTTCAGTTATATCTTTACAGTCCTAAATTTGGAAACTGAAAGAAAACCATGTTTTCCCTATTTTTATGATATCAAAATATTTCCTGGTGAGATTACAAATAAACGTCTTGTATCATCTCTCAACCTAAATATATGTTATTACTATCTCAATTTCCAATTGCATAATAAAATGTACTCACTTAAGCCAAATTATTTATCATTCAGAGTTCTCAAAAGCTTTGCCACTAGATGCAGAATCAACCTAATCTTTAGTAATTCCGTTATTCCAGATCCAAACCAGGGACCACTCAAATAATTCCACAGTTAAGCTATCAGATACTCTGCACAGAGCTAACTCACAAGACACTCTGCTTTATGACTGATCTCCGGTGAATCTTTAGTTGCCATGATCCTTGCCTAAAGTTGCCAGTCTTTATATAGGTCAACGATACTGTTATTCTGAATATGAAATAAAGGGAAGAAGAGTTTTATAGTCTGGAAGAATTCTGATTTTTTTTTAAAAAAGATGTATTTATTTATACAAGAACCAGGGGATAGGCCAAATGTGCGGGAGGGTGAGAGGATTCACCAGAGACAGAGTGGGGAGCAAAACAGGCAGACTGACGAAATACACTGGTGAGGGGAGCAGCAGGCGAGACAGGAGAGGTCTGCTCGCCATGGGGGTATCTCCAGGGCCGGCAGGGATGGAACTGGCGCTGCGGAGGCCACAGACAGCTTCACAGCGCTGCACTCAACCGCCGGCACCACCAGGGAGGCCCAAATTCTGATTTTTTGAGGGGAATTATTTTCTAAACATGAAAGTAATTGGTCCAGTTGACCTATTACGTCTTAGTGATAGGATAACTAATGAAAATGACTGTTCCTATAAATATTCATATTTGGTGGTAATAAAACCACCATTTAAAAAGCAGCAGGCATGCTGGTATTATATATTTAGCTGTCAGTATACTTCATATTTCCCTAATGTGCTGCTGCTTCAGAGAGTGGTTATACCCTATCCTTTCACTAATGCCTCTCATTTAACGAGAATAACAGAGAGGGTTATTTCTATTGGGTACTGCCCTTTTAACTCGAGAGTTTAACTTTGCTTAAGCTGAACAGTTTAGTCCATACTGTGCACAGGACAAGTCTTTTGGCACAATAAAGCCAACTGAGCTTTAAAAAGCACTTTTCTGAAAGATACACAGTAATTAGTAAACCACAAGGTACAGAAAGGAAAGAGGAGTTTGGGGGAACACTAGTACTTCAAGATGTCTGTGGGAGACTGCCAGAGCAGGGCGCAAGGATACCTTCTTCTCTTGGACATCTACATCGCACATGCTTAATACGTTCACGCCTCTGAGAAGTTCTGGACAAGGACCGCTCTACCTCAACATTTCTCAATTTTGCTTGATCATGAAATCCTTTATTTTCATTATCTTACATATGTTCTACAAAATATGTGATTTGGGCAAGAAATCTAATCTCTCTTAGCCATTGTTTCCTCAGTGGCAAAGACATCATCATCATCATCGTCATCATCATCCCATCTACCTATCTCACAAGATGACTGGTAGGAGCAAAGGAGATGATCTTTGTAAGCCATATGCCTGCTGGCTGTATGTGATCACAACCATGAAGGATAAAGTGAGTCAGGAGTAGACCTTTCAATCCTCAGGTGGGGAGTCCAGCGCAAACAAACAATGTAAACAGAAGGTAACAAAGCATTAACTGTATTTCCTCCTAAGGTTTTCCATTCTTCAAAGCACAACTGAATTCCAAAAAGCTCCCAGTAGTAATAGATTGCACAAAGGCACTGCCATCTGCAGGCCACACAGATGGAATACTTGCAACAGTTATTGAATATGAAGTGTCAAACTATTGGGCTCTTTCTCTAACTTCTAAAGCTGGCAGATGAGGTTCCACTTGTTTAAGTTCTGAAATGGACTCAAGTAAAATAAGATCCTTGTTTCTTCTTTAACAGAACTTCTGCTTAGCAATGTGGAAAAAATTACTGCGCCCTGATGTAAGTTCTCCGTTGTGCTCATACCAAAATAACCCCAAGGAATATTATTTTTTTTTTACTTTACAGTTTGGGGGCAAAAACCTTTGAGCTGACTTTTGGTTTGAGCTGACTTTTCTGAGTTTCCTTTCAATGAAATAAAGTTAGCCTGCTCTCACACACAAAAACAGAGCTTATGAGCACAATACAAATAGAAGAGACTGCTGTCAACCTATAAATAAGTGAATCTGTCAATGCCTCCTTTAACCATGTGGCGTTCACAGGCATGTGACGTTGAGCCACCTGCACCTAGAAAAACCCCTGTCACTAGGCCTTGTGATATGGTTTCCTCCAGCCCGTCCTACACATAAGATCGTTGTTCTCATCTTCTAGGCTAAAAGGTCAGAGGTTTCAAAGGATATCTGGTAGTAGCCAAGCCAAAAGAAAGGCAAAGAAACCAGAATGAAGGAACAAAGTGATGTTGAACAGCCACGTGAGCGCCAATTCCCACAATGCAAAGCTTGGGCTTTACTGGTTCGAAAAAGTCAACACAAAGTTAGTTTTCACACCCAGACTGACTCATACAGAAAACATGAAGTCTAGAGTTGTCAAAAACCAAAACAGCTCAACGGGCGTCTGCGGAAATCTCTTCTGTGAACTGTCAGGCGGGTGCTGCACCGCAACGCAACCAGAGCAGCGAGGAGGCACCCAGGAGGCACCCAGGAGGCGCCCAGGAGGCGCCCCGTGTCCTTGAGAGGCGGGTCCTGGCCGCTCCCTCAGGCGCTCGCTGCCGACTAACAATGAGCCCAGTTTACAAGGAGAAAGCGTGTAACGTTAATCATCAGTCCCCAAGATCCTGGGGCATTTCGTGGACTCGGCAATGCCTCAGGGAAAACTCCTGGACGCAGAGCGGAAGCCAGAGGCTCGCCACGAACCCCGCACTCCTAGGACAGCGTTTCCCAAAGCGTGGAACGCAGAATAACTTCAGGAGGAACAAGGACGCGCTGTTTCTTTTCATAGATAGGTATTTATTATTTTTTATGAGCGTTCGAATAACTGGCTTTCCATGGCACGGTGTGTGATTTACGATTCCACCTTCAACAAACGCATTGGAGAAAGGAAGAGGGAGAGAGAGTGACGTGTGGTGAGCGGCCGTGCGGAGGGCGGGCGGGCGGGCGGGCGCCAGGGTGCAACGCGAGGCTGGAGTTTGGGAAACGCCGTCCTAAAAGCCGCCCCTGGCGGGCGGGCGGGCGCCAGGCGCGCCCCGGGCCAGCAGGTCGGGGCGAGGGCGCGTCGCCAGGTTCCAGGGTCCCCTCAGGCACAGTGCTCCCCGTGCTCGGGCCTGGGGTCCGCGCTATAAAATGGGTGGGGTGTCACAGGACAAGGAGACGCCTCGAGGATGCTGTCAGGGGGCCGCGCGGCGGCGGCGAAGGGGGGCCGCGCTCGACCCGCCGCGCGGCGCCGGGCACCCCGAGAACGCGCGGCCGGGCGCCCCGCCGCGCCCGGGTCAGAGCGCCCGCGGCGCCGCCTCCTCGCTGAGGCCCAGCGGGCGCGCGGCTTCGCCTCCCGGAGAACGGGGCGCGGGCGCGCGAGCCCGGCCTCCGGGCGGCTCCGAGGACGCGGGGCGGCGGCGTGCGCGGAGGGGCGCCGGGGCGCGGCGCCGCTGACCCGAGGCCCCCGCGGCCGCCCCGGCCCGGGCCTGACGGGAGCAGGAGGCCGCGCCCCGCACCGGGCATGCGCAGCCCCGCGCGCGCCCGCGGAGGAGCGGAGGCCGCGGCCGCGCGTCGAGCGGGCCCTCCCGGCTCGGCCTCCCCATCCGGCCCGGGCCCCCCCTCAACCGCCGGCCCGTCAGCCCCTCGCCTTGGCGGGCGGCCATCGCTTCCCGGCACTCACCGCTACCAGTGCGGCGGGCGCCCGGCCGCTCCTTCGCCTCAGGCCCGCCGCTGTCGCCTCCGCCTCAGCCCACCTGCCCGCCGTAGGACAAAGGCGCCACCAACCGACCGGCGCGGGCACGAGGCAATGGCGGCCGGGGCGGAGAGTGGGGGCAGAGGGCGCGCACGCAGCGGCAGGCGCGGCGGTGTCGCAAGAGCGCGCGGGTTTACGGCAGGGCTGAGTTGGGGCGTGGAGCTCCTTAGCAACGAGGAGACGGCGGCCCTCCCGCGGCGGTTGGGCACGCGAGGGTTGCCTAGCAACGGCGTCCTCAGGCTGGGGATGGGTCTCAGACCTGTTTTCTGCTCCCTCCACCCCCACCCCAAAGGCGCTGCTTTTCTTCTGGTTTTCAGACCGCCCGCTTTCCTCGTCAACTGTGGAAGTAGAACATTTAAATCCTAAAATACTTTGATTTAGTTCTAAATAGAACAAAACCCAAAACACCTATAGGGGTTTGTATTGGAGGTTATTTCTTGTAACCTCCGGATCACACGGAACAAAGAGAGCAGAGAGGTAGAGAAAATGATTTATTTTAATTTACATTTAAATAGGCGGTGTAGCCTATTTAACTGACAAGAGGCTAAAAGTCTCTGGTGATATAGTCACGGTTTCTTGAGTTATTTCTTCCTTCTTCATTCAATGTCAAGAATAAATTTCTCAGAATGTAACTGTCGACTGTGAAATATGTAAAATGTTGTGTTGTTCATTGGCCTATAGAATATATCTATCACAGGGAATAGAATTTGCTCACTTGATTGTAAGTACACTCTATTACTCACAGCCATCTGTATGAATCAGGTAGACCCTTTTATTAGGAAATGCCTGAGACCCCCATGGGGTCTCGTTTTTCTGCTGGTGTACAGTGCATGCCAAGTAAAAAACGTTAGGTTTGTCATTTGAATACAGTGGGAAGTCAGGGAATACAATGGGAAGTCAGTTTCTTTGACACCTGCTAATACGCTCACTCTTCCACTCATTTACTCCTAGTTGGTGGCCCTGTGATTTATTATACCCTACTTGCTGTGTACTGTCCTGAACAAATACTGTCATAGATATTACTGTCTATTGGAGAGATAGAATTAGGTGAATAATCGTTAGAGTATGTAGTTGCAAACAGGTAAAAACTTGAAGAGCTAGGGACACACTTTATTGTCTAGATTTTCTCCTTATGAATAGTGCAAGGCATGTCCAATGCATATGAACAGATATTTGGCTTCAGATCCATGTGGTGGATCATAATGGGAAAATGGAATCTAGGTATTTTTTTCCCCATTCCAGGTGATTGTTCCTGGAGGCAGATAGAGACTTCTACGCCCAGGAAATTTTCTTTTACTTTGTCCCAGGTTGTAAGCTCCCTCTAGGTGAAAAGTTTCCTAGTATTCTGCTCTCCTAGTATCCTTTTGTGGGGCAGATTAAGAATCACATTTGACTTAGTCCAGAATATTCCGTTTCTTTCCTTGGTTACCCACTTTTTGATGCTGTGCCATCACTTTGTACCCTTTTTGTTGTTTAACTGATTCCCTTAAATTTTTATATCTTAATTTATTATTATTATTTTGGTTAGATATACAGGGACAGAGATTTGATGACTCAACTTCATCTTGCTATTTTTATCTACCAGAAATTTCACATGATCTCATTTGGTCTTCACAACAACCTTATGTGGTAGATACTATACAATTTCAACTTTTAAAATTCCTGAAAATTCAAACATATGTTAAAGTACATAAAATAATGCATACCTTTCTTCACCACTATGATTGAGCAAATGCAAATATCTTTGAAAATTTGCACTTCAGAAATAAAACGATATATTAACAGTCAAGACTCTCCCCCCATTTCCTTCTCCACCCTTCCCAGAGGTAATCACTCTTCTGAAATACTTTTCCATGTATATTATGTAATTTTATTATAAAAATATATACATGTATATGTATCAACTATAGACTGTTGTTTAATATGTTTACGTATATGCTATGTATCCTTCACAACTAGCTTTTATTTTGTTTTAACTGTACTAGGTTTTTGGGATTTAACTGTGTCAAAATGTATAACGAGTTTAGTGGTTCTCAAAGTGATGCTACTGGACCAGCAATCTCTGAAAAGTTGTTAGAAATGCAAAATTTTGGCCCCACCTGAAATCCATTGAATCAGAAGTTCTAGGGGTAGGACCAGCATTTTTTCCCTTCACCAGTCTATCCTAAAGTCTGAAAACTACTGCTTTAACTTGTTCAGTTTATTTTCCGCACAGTATTTTATTGCGTGGGTCAGCCACGGTTTATGTATCTGTGCTAAGAAACAGTTAAATTTCTTTTTTTTTTTTTAAACATTTTTTTTTTTAGAGGCATGTTTTTATTTATTTGTTTGTTTGTTTTTGTTTATACATGCATTGGGTACAGTCAGAAGCGTGGGAGGGTGAGAGAATTCACCAGAGCCAGAGCGGGAAGCAGAGCAGGCAGAAGGATCGAAGTACACTGCTGAGGGGAGCAGCGGGCGGCAGGAGAGGTCTGTGCGCCATGTGGGACCCTCCTCTGGTGGCCGGGGAGCAGCCGGGGATCGAACCGGCGCCGCAGAGGCTGCGGGCAGCTTCGCAACCCAGCGCTCAACCACTGCGCCACCGGGGAGGCCCAACAGTTAAATTTCTTTCCTATCGTCATGAGTGCTGCATGGAGCATATTAGTGTATCTCTCCTTGTTGCACGTGTTAGAGTTTTCTAGGATACACAAGTAGGTGTAGAATTGATGACTTTGGTGTATAGCACATCTTGAACTTCAGAAGGTTTAGCCAGATTGCTCTCCGAAGAAGCATAGTGTACACTCCTGCCAATGATGTATAAGAAGTACCATTTCTAGATATCCTTGCCAACTTTTGATATTTTCAGACTTTTTTCATTTATTTTTGCTTATGTTTGATGATAGTGTGAAATGATATCTTTGTTTTTCTTTTTTAATTTTCCTGAGTTTAGTAACATTGAGCATCCTTTCTTACAGTTTATCCAGGTTTCTTCCTAGCCTGTTGATATGTCTAGATCATTTTTCTACTGGGTTTATTTATATTTTTCTTAAGATGCCTAAGAATTACAGTATTTACATGGTCTGCATATGTCTGGAGTCAGGTTTAGGTCTTTTTTCTGCATTTGTTTGGCCTTCTTAATTGTATCTTGTCATTCAATTGTTTAAATTTTTAATGTAATGGTAGGTTTGTTTTCACCTCTCCCCTTATAGTTTGTAGCATTCTGTGTCATATATTCTCCTTGATAAATACTTTGATTGTGTCCATTTTACAGGTCAGCTGAGGCACAGAGCGCTTATACAGCCTCCCCAAGATCACACCCACAGGAGATGGGTGTCTTGAATTTTTGATCCTCTGGGTTGCACGGTATTCCACGTCCTTCACCCAGATGCCCCAAATGTTGAATATTTCACCATGTTTGCTTTATAATTCCTGTGTGTCTCTTTCTCTGTATCATCTCAGTATTATCTAATCTAAAGGCCTTCTTTGAATTTCACCAGTTGTCTGATGAATGTTCTATAGAACAAAGGGAACCCTTTTTTTTCTGACCTGTCTACGATTACATATTACCTTTGGTTTTTAAGTCTCTTTAGTCAACTTTAACCTGCAACAGTTCTTCAGACTTTCTTTGTCTCTCATGACCTTGGCATTTTTGATGATTCCAGGCCATTTGCTTTATAGAACATACCTCACAGATGCTTGTCTGAGATTGCTTTGTTGTTAGATTTAGGTTATACATTTTGGGCAGGACTACATAGAAGTGATGCTGTGTCCTTGTCAGACTGATATTTTTTAACTGGAATTTTATGCAATAGCATGTGCTTGTAAAGCCACCTGGCCCTTGTTTTTGTTCTTGGGGAGATTTTTTTGATTCCTCTTTTGTCGATAATATCTATGATATTAAGCATAAAGTGTGTATGGGAGATACAACTGGGAAATACAGTCAGCTACAGAGGTATCCCTTGCCCTCACATCTGATGGACCAGATACTTTCCCCCAAATCTTTCTAAAGTCTGTCCATTTCTCTGTGTCCCTGTAGTCCAAAATATCATCCTCCTTAGCTTGGACCATTTCGCCAGCCTCCAAACTAAACCTTTTGCTTCCACTCCAATTCTTTCTCTCCTATTCCTGGAGCGATATTATTATATAACAAACTTGATTATCATTCCCTATGTCCTTAGAATAATGACGAAGCTGCTTTCAAGTCTCTGCAAAATGTGGAACTTTTATGCCATGTATGATACCATCTTCCTCTTGCTTTCTAACTTGCAACCCCGTTTGTATACTTTTGTGCCCTAAACTCACCATATTCTTTTTTTATATTAATTTTTTTTATTTTTTTACATCATTGTTCATTTTTAAACAATATTTGCTTCCCCCCCTCAGGTGTAGTCCCCATAGAATTTCCTTCACCAATGCCCCTGTGCACCATCACCTCAGTCCCCTGTGCTCCTCCCTCCCTCCCTCTGATCCCTCTCCCGCCTCCTCCCCTGCAGGATGGCTCTGATTTATAATTGTTCATTTTTGCTTTGTTGTGCTTTGTACTGTTATTATTTTTTTTACACTGATGTTTTATTGGGTTCCCCTATATTCCTGCTATAAGTGAAACCATCCAGTATTTTTCTTTTTCCTTCTGGCTTATTTCACTGAGCATAATTCCTTCCAGCTCCATCCACGTTGCTGCGAATGACATGAGTTTATCTTTTTTGATTGCCGAGTAATATTCCATATTGTATATGTGCCACATCTTCTTGATCCAGTCATCTATAAAACCACACTTACATGGACAACTGATCTTTGACAAAGGGGCAAAGACTATGCAATGGAACATGGACAGTTTGTTCAATAAATGGTGCTGGGAAAAGTGGACCACCACATGCAAAAAAATGAAACTAGACCACTACCTCTCACTGTGCTCAAAAATCTACTCAAAATGGATAAAAGAACTGGACATGTGCCCCCCCTGGTGGCGCAGGCAGTTGAGCGCAGTGCTGTGAAGCTGTCCGCAGCCTCTGCAGCACCGGTTTGATCCCCCTGGCCGGCGAGGGTCCCATATGGCGCGGAAGACCTCTCCTGTCTCGCCCACTGCTCCCCTCAGCAGTGTATTTCTTCAGTCTGCCTGCTCTGTTCCCCACTCTGTCTCTGGTGCATCCTCTCACCCTCCTGCACCCCTGGTCTGTACCCTAGTTCTTGTATAAATAAATAAATCTTTAAAGATAAATTAAAAAAATATATCTTTAAAAAAAAGAACTAGGTAAAACACTATAAGACATGCATCGCAGTAACATCTTTGAAGACTCATCACCCAAAGCAAAGACAGTCAAGGAAAAGATCAACACCTGGGATTACGTCGAACTAAAAAGCTTCTGCACAGCAAAAGAGACATTAACCACACACCATATTCTTTATACCTCAGGGATTTTGCACCTCTCCTTCCCTCTGCTTAAGATACTCTCCTGTCCCTTTTCCAACGCCTTCATCCTTCCTTCTTCCTTCCCTTTCACTTCTTTAATTAACTCTTACTCATCCTAGAGGTGTTAGTTTACATATCCCTTCCCCTCCTTACTCAGGCACAGAGGTAGAATAGCATAGTAGCTAGGAGCATAGACTATGGATTCAGACTGCTTGGGTCCAAATCCTGGCTCCACCATTTACTGGCTGTTACCTAATCGCTTAGTTTCTTCCTTTGTAAGATAGGAATAGTGATAAGCCCTATCTCAAAGGACAACTGCGAATGTTGTTGCTTTAACATATGTAACACACAGAGCAGTGCCAGCCAAGACAGCTCAGCAAGCATGAGCCTGTAGAAGCCTGTCCCCTTCTGCAAACTCATGTTAGACTGTGTGCTTCTGTTTTGAAAAGTTGTTACTTTTCCAACCAGAGGCCATGTAATGGGACAGGAGGCGAGTTTTGGGGTCAGCTCCTAATCTGTGTCTTTGGACCTGCAACTGAGAATAAGGGTTGCTTAACCTGGCTTCATGAGCTTGGATGGGAAAAACCTACCTCCTCATTTTCATTTACCACTGACTAAAATACAGCATCTCTTTCCATTATGCAGCGGGCAACAAACAGAAGTAATAGCAGAGCTGGCTACATCAACGCCACTTGTTAATACACAGCACATTACACATGTTGCATATGTGTTGAACTATTGAAATATTGTTTGCACTTGTAATAACTTTGAAATTATAGGTATGTAAGGCTTGCCACTAGATCATATTATGTAATCCCTTAATAAAGACACACATACTGCATTATGGCTCATCTTTGTCTTTTTAATATTTTGATGACTGCACTTCAGTATAATTAATTGGTTTTCTTTGTTTCTCCTTTAATCACATTTTATGCACTTGCAAGAGATTTTTTTCTTTTTCCTTTCTGGAAGTGTGCATGTACCTCTCCGATGGCCAGAGGAGGCCACAACATAGAAAACCAGAAGAATCTGCTATAAAGAGAATGGTCAATGACTGAGCAGCTCTCCCAGGACACACTAGTAGGTGAATGCTTCCTGAGTCACACATTGTTCTGAAGCCTTTGTGTATGTCCTTTATTAATCCCCCTGACATGCCAAGAGGTGGGTAGTGTTATTGTTCCCATCTTATAGATGTGACAATTGAGGCTCAAAGAGGTGGGTAAATCTCCCAAGATCACAGAGCAGTGTATTAGTAGTAGAGTCCATGCTTTTAACGACTCCAATATTTTACTTAACATATAAATCCTCGGTCCTTCTGTTGGGGGAAAAGGATGTCCTAATTCCATGCAGGCTTTGTGGACTCCACCCCCACTCCAGGCCAAAGCCAAAGACACTTGGGAACTCCAAATCCCGTCACCACCAAAGGGAAGGTGGCTGGGACCTGAGGGTGGGGTTAAGCAGCCAGGTTTGGTATAAAGCCAGACACGTGGGCTTTGGAGGGGATCCCCCACTTTGGCTCCCCGCCAGCTTGCAGCGCCGGCCAGCTCGGAGAGTGCCTTTGGATTTCCAGGTCGGCAGATCGGGTAGGACGCATTAAAGACTTTATTTCCCTATTTTCTCCCTGAGTTGTACATTTCCTTAATTCCCTTTCCCTTGTAAATAAACCTTTTATGAACCTTTTGTGTATGCCTGCAGTGGAGTATTAATAAGTCCCTTTTAAGTGCACGGGTGAGGACCTACAGCCAGGCAACCTGTTTTATATTGGGGTTGCCCTATAACACTTCCACTACCGTGCAAATGCAGTATCTCATTCTTCCATGCTACAGATAAGAAAACTGAGTCTTAAAGAGGTTGGGTGATGTTTTCTTCACCGGTAAGCAATGTAGTCAGGATTCAAATCCATGACTGTCAGCCTCCAAAGCCCACGTCTCCTGAAGGACTCTGTAGAGTTAATTAAAGATACCATAGGCACATAGCCTCGGAGAGCTGTTGGTTTATTAGCTATGTGACCCAGGCAGACTTCCTCATGACATCCATCAGGATTAGATGGTTTGGAAAGAAATGACTGCTTTTGCTGTGAGGTTACAGAGCAGCGTGGGGACCGTGTTCATGGATGTGAAATGCACACTGGCATTTCCAAAACTCCATTAACTGCTATTGTCTAGACAGAGAGTTAAAAGTGGGAAGTAGGAGATAAAAGAATACACAAGTAGGAAGTTCTGTATCGGGTTCATGCTGAAGCGGAAAGAATCATTATTCTGAAACTATTAATGATGAACTTGGTAAGGATCAAAGTAGTCTTGTGACCTGTAAATCTAATGAAATGAAAATGAGGTAATGGTATGTTTTATAACTATTGAGGATCTGAGAAGCTGGAAATTATCTCAGCATGAATATGATAAGGGAGTAGGGAACAATGGAAGCCATCTAGAAAAGGATCTTTATTCAGCTTTATTTATAGCAGGTATTCGTCTTGTCTTTCAACACGGGAGTCACAAAGGAGTTTGCTTCACCTTGCTGGGTGTATGAAAATACAACGGTTGTCACAGTTCCTGCTGCTTTCTTCCATAGACCTAGGCTGTAAGAAGGAGGGAGATGTGTAAGGGTGATGAATTGCTGGGGCTGAGAGAGGTGACAGGAGGAAAGAGTAAGAATAGGGGGAGAAGATATGAACTAGGAGAGATTCTTTGCACCATTGCCCGAAACCCCCATCTCTACACTTGAGCTGTCTAATGTGGTAGCCACTAGCTTTATGTGATTATTTGTACATATATGAGCAAACAAAATAAAAATTCCACTTCCTTGTTTACACTAACTACATCCCCAATGTTTAATAGGCACAGGTAGCTAGCGACTGCCCTACTCTGCAGACATAGAATGTTCCCACCAGCTCAGAAAGTTCAGCTGGACTCCGCTGATAAAATCCCAATTGCACCTATAAGGGGAGGAGTCCTCAGGTCCAGGACAGGTGAGATCCCCATGCCTGTGTCACCTCTGGTCCACGGGAATACAGAAGAGTAGAGTGTTCTGAAGTTGAACATGAGCCCCAGGCTTCCTTATAACCTTAGTTGAGCAATTTATACTTCTTAGGTCTAATTTTTCTAATAGTTCTAATATTTGTGATGAATGTCATTTATATCATCAAGAACACCCTCAAGGTCACACAGTCAGGAGCAGAATCAGGCGTTAGAACCAGATCTCTGACAGGAGGGGCTGCTCTCCTACCCATGCAGCCCCACTGCCTCCTGCTGCTACTTTCTGATCTGCAAATCAAGAAACAGAAACTGAGAGAAAGTTTCCATTTGAGAGGTGACCCTAGGAGGAAGGAAGCCACCACTGGGTGGTTTAATGAGCAGCACTGTGAAAAGTGGGGTGAAAGCCAAGTGTGGACCCTCTGCTGTCTCTCCTCCAAACTTCAAACTTCAAACCCTCCCTGAGGGGAGGATACTCAAGTTCAGGGTCAGTTAGAGAGTGTATTCATTATCTATTGCTGTGTAAGAGGTTATCCTCAACACAGGGATTTTGAACCAACACATGTTTATTATCACATGAGCTCACAGCCGAAGTAACAGTTGGGGTTCCTGTCATCTGAGGCTTGACTGGAAGCCTCAGACCAGAAGGGTGCACTTCTCACCTCTCACGTGGCTGGTGACCTGAGTTTCAGGTCCTTGTCAAGAGACTTTCTCTGAAGACTGCCTGAATGTCCCCAGGACATGGCAGCTGGCTTTCCCTAAAGGGATAGAGAGGGAGGGAGGGAGAGAGAGAGGGAAGGAGGGAGAAACCCTTCCAGTAGCTTCTCTTGTATTTAAGTTCACCACCTCTTTTTTCTCTTGCTTGCAAGGACAACAAGAATGAGTAGAACAGGTGCTGGAAGAGAGAAGACAGCAGTGGGGAAGGTGGGTTGGCAGTGGAGGAACTCACTCCAGATGAAGTAATCAGGGAATGCCTCTCTGAGGAGGTGCCATTTGCCAGAAACCTGAATGGTGGAGGAGAATCATCAGGGGGAGGGGCATTCTGGCAGAGGGAGCAGCACAGACAAAGGCTGAGGTGGGAACTGAGAGGTCTGGATGGCTGGCACGTAGTCAGCAGGTGGGTGAACAGAGGGAGAGGTCAGCAGAAGCCAGATCATGCTGGTGTTGAGCCTGGAAAGGAACTGGATTCCCACCCCCATCAAAACCATCTCTTATTACAGACACGAGCCTAGGATGGCCACAGGACCAGACCCCAGCTCTCCTGATCTAGGAATCAGGAACAGCCAAGTCAGTAAGTAGCTTTAATTAGATCACAATAAAGAAGTTTGTCAACTCACCCATTTGTTTTGCTGGTTCTCAGGTTTTCTTAATTTCTATCTGGTTTCTCTCCTGAGTTTCTTAGTTCTCTTTGATAAATTCCAGCCCAACCTGAAGGGGAGATTTTTGTGCACAGTTGGGCCTGGGAATCCCAGCTGGAGAGGCTCATCATCTGGTGGAGAAGAGTAGCTACCCAGGAAGGTGTGCAATGAGCTAGTGGGTCCTGCTGGATTTCTTCTGCCCCATTTCTTCATAGTCCTGCATTTACTCAACAAACACCATTCAGTGTCCATGTTGGACACAGCATGTTGCGCTGGGCTGTGTGGGCATTGGTCCTCCACTCCAGGAATTGTAACAGGGTGGTCCCCAGAAAAAGGGGAGGTTCCCTGTCCCACCCAAGAGAGGGTGGAGCTGAGTAGGGAGAGGAGAAGCTGCAGAAGAGACTGAGGAAGGAAGCAGGATGGAGCCAGAAGGAGACCTGGAGGAGGCGCATGGAGCCTAGAGACACATGAAGAAACTGCGCTGGCCTTGTGGTCGTGGACGGGGTGACACAGATGTGGGTGAGACCCGTGGGGAGGTGACAACGGCAGCTTTTATCTTGATGTTGATTTTGCTCTTTTCCTTCTGGGCTTGTCCGGTTGTTTCTGACCCTTTTCTGTGGGTCCCCAGGCCAAAACCCCCCATTTTTTATCCAAGCAGGTAGGGTCTTGGCGCAAGTCAACCCTTGGATGAGGAAAGGAGAAGATAAAATGAGATTTAAATTGAGTTGAGAATAAAACTTTCCAGGATGGAGGTTTAACAACAGAAAGTGATCCACAAGTAATGCAATCTGCCCAAGATGTCATTAAGGGATAGAAAAGGGAGCGCCCGCACAGCATGACTGGAGGCAGACATTAGGGGGAAAAAGCTTCATTATTATGCCCCAGCGAGCTGAGTCGCCTCAATACACTGGTTCCATGAATAAGCAGAATAACTGAAATATGGTGTGGTAGGGCTGGTGTCTTGCCTAGGTAAGCAGCCCCAGGGTGCTGAGGGAGTACCCAGGGTAGAAGCTGTGCACACCCAAGGTTGGCTGTCGGAGAGGGCTTTCCAGAATCAGAGCACCCAAGTGTGAGCCTTGAAGGACCAGAAAGAACTGGCTCAATGAAGAGTAGAGGAGGCCTTTCCAGGCAGAGGTGACAGTGGGGCCATGTGGGGAGAGGTGCTGGAGCAGCAGCTTGCAGGCTGAAAGGACAGACACTCAGGCCAGGGACCCCACGAGCTTAGGCAGCATGGTTTCTATTATAAACCTGGAGCAACGCAATCAGTTTGCATATTAGAATTATCTGGTCACCAGATTCTGGCACCACCATAGACTTGACCTCCAGGCACACTTCTCACTCATATACCCAGCCCTGTGATTCCCTCCCACCCCATCCTTATAAGGGCCATTTCCTCTGTGATTCTTAATCCTGGGTCCTGGCTTTTTTGTATATCTTTTGCTTTCCTGCGATGACCAAGCCCTTCCTACCCGCCCCCCCACCCCCATGGGACTCTGGTATATTGCCACCTTCTTCATAAACCACCTTCTTTTCTCCCCACTGCAGCATGCACTTCTCAGCCCAAGAAGATTCCATGCCTTTGCAGGGCATGCGCCTGCCAGCACACGTCTCCTCGGGATATGCATACACTAAAATATCTTCCCTTTATCTTATCTGGTCTTCACCCCATGGGGCAACCCGAAGGCTACTATTTATTCTTTCACACATTAATTTAAGCTGCCTTAATTGCTGCTATGATGTTTTATATAATATAATTAATGTTTTAATTCTGTGTACTTGCCTCCCAAGGCAGTTTTGTGAAGGGCCCAATTTTGGAATCAAGCAAATAAAGAATAAGGAATGGCCAACGTCATTATAGTAACGCCTCCCCCCTCCCCAAGGAATTAAAACTGTGCTTGTTTCTTTCCAAGTGGATTAAAAAGGGAAAAGATAGTTTAATATTCTCTTAGTCCTGGGTCTGTTCAGGGGCATTCATGACCTTCCCTGGACCCTGATTTCCAGCATTCCTCACTTGTTGGTGTCCGACCACCAGCTCAAGGTCAGCATTGGCACAGCCAGCTTAAATTTTTTTTTTAAGATTTATTTACTTATTTATTTATACAAGCACTGGGTACAGTCAGAAGCGCGGGAGGGTGAGAGAATTCACCAGAGCCAGAGCGGGGAGCAGAGCAGGCAGACTGACCAAGTGCACTGCTGAGGGGAAGCAGCGGGCGGCAGGAGAGGTCTGCGCGCCATGTGGGACCTTCCTCTAGTGGCCGGGGAGCAGCCGGGGATCGAACCGGCACTGCAGAGGCTACAGAGGCTGCCGGCAGCTTCGCAACCGGACGCTCAACCACTGCGCCACCAGGGAGACCCCAGCTTAAATTTTTTAAAAATGTTTATTGATGTAATGTTAATTTACAAAATTGCATATGTTTTAGGGATGTATTGGTTTATACCTCTACAAATGTAAGTCATGCCACACCCACCATCAAAGCACCAGTGATCTTCCATCATAGTCCATGGAGCCCCCTCCTCCCTTTGCTCCCCACCCCCACCCTTCTTGTGGCCTCAGTTTTATATTTAGGTTTCTAAAGTTGGTTTTGGGCATGACCAACTTTGCATCTCCTGCTCCCCATCATTCCTGATGGAGGCTGTGCTTAGAATGAGCAGTTACTGAACCCATTAACCTATTTATTTATTCACCCAGCAAGTGTGGGTGGGTATTGGTGTGTATGTGCCCAGCACTGGGAGAGATTCAGTCCTGTCCTCAAGGAGCTCACTATCAAATGCAGGTAAATGGAGCTATAGGGTCCAGTATGCACGATCCCTGGGGTGGGTTGGGGTCTGTCTCTGTTTCAGTGTTAAGAGGAGGCTGAACTGAAGAGGAGGCAAAATTTAAACTGGATGGGCCTCCCTGGTGGTGCAGCAGGTTGAATGCAGCGCTATGAAGCTGTATGCAGCCTCTGCAGCGCCGGTTTGATTCCCCACCAGACAGGAAGTTACTCACATGGCGTGGCAGACCTTTCCTGTCGCACCTGCTGCACCCCTCAGAGGTGTATTTCCGTGGTCTGCCTGCTCTGCTCCCCGCTCTGTCTCTGGTGAATCCTCTCACCCTCTTGTGCCTCTGGGCTGTACCCCAGCTCTTGTATAGAAATAAATAAATCTTTTTAAAAAATTTAAAAAATTAAACTGGAAGCAGAAGGGAAGGAAGGAGACATGAAGATAGAAAAATAGTACAAGAAAAACCAACTGCATGTTTGGAAAATGGGGAGAAGGTGGGCATGGCTGATGTCAGTGTGTGCCGGAGGGCATGGCAATGAGTGAGTGTAGGGGAGAGGTTGGGCTGAGTGGGGATGGGCTTGCCACCTGGAGGAGTTTGTAGGGGATCCCGAAGAAGTTTTTAAGAAGGGAACTGCCCCAATTAGATCATCAGATCAGAGCTGGGGTTTTCAAAGAGAACTGGAGGAAGAGAAAGAGAAAGAAAAAGAAAGAGAAGGTCTGGGGGGGGGCAACTCAGATGAAAGATGATGAACCTCTAAATCAGAGCCCAGGGGAACAGGGCATGGATTCTAGAGGGAAAAGCCTCAGGGCTGCAAGTGTGTCTTTTGCAGCAGAAACCAGGACCCTGGGGTTAGCTGGGCCCACCTCGCCCATCCTCCCTGATCTGTTTAGCCTGGACTTTTGGCTTGACGCAGAGTCAGAGTTCAGAGGTTTATCACCCAAAAACCCGTGTGGCTCAAGCGCCCTCGCTTTCAGTGGGGGGAAAATGGAAGCTCAAGGGAATCCAGCCCGTCAGCTGCAGGGCCTAAGCCAGAGCCCGGGCATCCTTCTGGGGGTAGGGCGAGGACACTCGGGGTGCGGAGGCCGCGCCCCCGCGCAGTCGTGAGTGTGTCTTTGTGGAGCTAGGGGGTCCCCAGCCTCCCTGGATTCTCAGGGGGCCCTCCGCGCCCTCCAAGGCTGGCTGAGCCGAAGCCTCTCCCCGGGCGCTGACGGCGCCTGGAGCGGGGCAGGGCCGGGAGCAGGGCCCGCGGGACGCCAGGTCCAGCGCCTGCGGGCGGGCGGGGCGCCGGGCCTGCCCCCCGGGAGGGAATTTCCTTTGAAAGAGAACGAAACTGTCGGGAAACTTTTCCTCCAGCCGCCTCCCCAGCTCTCCCGCTCCCCACACCCAGATGCGGCCTTCCCGTTTTCTGGGGCTGGGGGGGGACTTCCTCAGGCCCCCCCATCTGCGAGGGGTGAGCTTTCGGTTCTGCCGGGATTTCCGGGGGCGGCGGCGGAGAATCGGGGGGTCGCAGCGGCGTCTTCACAGTAACCGTGGGGGAATCTCTCTTCTCTCCCGGTCCTCACCTCCACCCCCGAAAGCGGGGTGACTACTACCCCCCTCGGCTTGGCCTTTGTGGGTCCAGGGGGCGAGGAGCCAGGCTTGCCCCGGGCTGCCCTGCTCCCTCCTCCGTCCCCAGCCCCGCCGCTCCCCAGGCGCGTCCCGAAGCTGCGGGGACCGGACTCTGGGACGAGTCCCGGGAAACCCCTGGGCCGGAGCCTCCGGGAGCCCCGCCCCCTCCAGCCAGGTGGGCTGCGATTGGTCCCTGAGGGCCCCCCCTTTCCTGGGCGGGGCCGGGACCCCGAGTTACTAGAAGCGGGTCCCGCGCCCTCTCGGCCGCGCCGCCTCCGCTCGCCATGGTTCGCCGGCTGCTGCGGTGTCTCCTCTGGGGCTGCCTGCTGACCGCGGTGAGTTGAGTTCCTGCTCCCACCCCACGGGAGAGTTTGGGGTTCGAGAGAGGGGAATGGGAAGAGCAGCAAAACTGGGGGAAGAGACGTCCTTAGCTTATTTGGGGGTGCACAGGAGGGTAGGTGGGAGCTGGGCAAATAGCCAGGTCTTGGCTGAATAGGTGGCCGCCCAGGCTGGGGTCGTAATGGGGTTCCTGGGCGGTGTGGGTGGGGTTGGGGTTTGGCCTGAATCTTCATCTGGTCGAAAGGCTGGCGTCGGTCGGCATTGCCCCAGCGGCTGGGCGGGCAGACGTGGGTGAGGGGCTTCAGAAGCAGGAGGGAGAGGGTCTGGAGGGTTTCCTGTCCCTTTGCCTTGTGGACAGATGCCGGCCTCTGGGAGTGGGGATCCTCTCCTGGCCGGCGCGCGCTGCCTTCTTCCAAGGCGTGATGTGGGAACAAGGAGAGGGTGCAGAGCCCCGGGTACTTCTTCAAGAAGCCAGGCGCTTTTAACACCCTCAAATCCTGGCTGATCCAGTTTAGGAATACCCGAGGCTGTGTCTCTGCCTCCTGAAATGATGAATTTAAGATGGTAGAGGGGATTCCTGGGGGGAGATGGACCGTTCATGGGACCCAAGAAGGGGCTGGAGGGCCAGCAGGGGTTTTTCTACAGGCACCAGAAGGACTCAGCTATGCCCGGCCGAGCACATCTCCGGGATTTTCGGAAGGCCACACTTGACTCATTTTTTTTTGTTTTAAATGTATTCTTGTAGTTCCTCATTTGGGAGGCGGGATTCCCCCAAGTACCTGACTCGTTCATCCAAGGCTTCTGGCCACCCCTGACTCTCAAGGGCTGTACATTCTGGCATGAAGTCTGGGGCGGGGGATGACCCATGTGAAGTTGTGGGTGGACAGCAAGGGAAGAGACCTGGTGAGGAAGCTGCTTTGGTCCCAGGGCTTTCATTTTCACTCTAAGCAATGGCTCCTAGGGAGATAAGAGGCAGGAAGGGGTGGAGCTGGAGACAGAAGAAAGGGAACTCTTGGTGGAGTAAGAGCCTGGAGAGGAGCCGCAGAGGAGCGAGCGTAGGAGCGTGGCTTCTCAAGCACATCCTCCCAGTTTTGGCTTCGGGTAGAGACTGGGCTGTGGCCACAAGGGCAGGAGCTATTTATAGAGAGCTTCCTGGGGGTCAGACTGCAAGTAAAAGGCTTTACCTGCTTTCTTGGTCTGATTTCTCTTAACTCCCCCATTACACAGATGAGTAAACTGAGGCTCAGGAGAAATACCTTGCCAATATTCTCCTAGCTGGTGGGAGCTGCATATAAACCTACATCTGTCTGATTCTTGGGCTGGCCTCTCAGCTGATGGGAGTCAGCAGCCTGAGCCCGGACTCCTTTCTGGATCAGAAGGACCAGAGTTATGGAGGGGGAGGAAGTCATATTTCTCCCATGTTTGCAAATGCACACAGGGCTTTTGTTGCTCCCAGAGGGTGGTGGGAAGGTCTACAGAGTTGCAGGAAGAACATCACAGGGTGGTGTGTTGTGATGTGATGGTGGGGCTGCAGCCTTTACTTCCTTCCCCATTTGGGGCAAGATCATTTCTATAAGTAATTTACCCACAGAGGCTGCATGAGAGCCACCAGTTAGGCAGGATGCTGGGCAGCCGGGCAGTTAGCGGGGTACTGGGCATCCAAGTGGATACTCACATATGTATGATATTCAAACTGCCACTTAATGAACATCTACTAATGAGCACCTGCTATGGACTACTGAGGACCTACTATGCAGACTCTGTGCCAGGCCATATGCATGTAACCTTTGTTATCTCTTCTCAGACCCACCTGGGGTGGGGCAGGCATTTTGACTCCCATTTTAGAGATGTGGAAACTGAGGCTAAGAGAAGCAAAGTAGCTACCGAGTGTCACCAAGCCACAACTGGAATCGTGTTTGACTCTCAAGTCTGTGCTGTTTTCCCTGGATGTTTCCCAGGTGTGGGGTGATTTTAGGGAGCACAGGGTGTAGAATTAAACAGCGTAGGTTCACTTTACAGTTCTTGTAAAAACTCTTCTCGTTGTTCGAGGGAGAAGTCTGTGGGGACCATAGTTAAGACCTTTCAAGTGCTTACTAATCCTCCTTTATAAGCAACAATCAAGAGCAGGCCTGGGTGGGGGGCCTTCCAAAAGCAAAGCAATGCACGTGATTTAATGCCTTCGGTTTTCTGTTGACTTTATTTTGAGGCTCACCTCTTCTTCGAGAGGAGTGATGCTGATTCTCTGCCCATGGCAATGATAGAAGGCTTAGGTTTAAAATAAATGTATTTATATTAAAAAGAAATAATAGCTTGGGCAGTACCAGGGAGAGGTAAAAAAAGTGCAGTGAGACCCAAGTTGACAGAGAGGTGATGAGTTCTTCAGATTCTATCACTGTGTGACCCTGGGCAAAGGACCCAGCCTCCATTTCTCTGTCCCCCTGTTTGCAAAGTGAAGGAGTTGGATTTTTACCTACTCAACCTCTCCATCCTGGCATTTCTTGGGGGAGGGGTGAGATGAGCAGAGGATGAGGGTTGGTGGGAGAAAGCAGATGAGGCTGGGAGAGGGAGAGGGAGGGGGAGCAGAAGAATAGAAGGAAGAGGCAGTGCTAAATATAGCCCCCACAGGACTGGGGCCAGCTGAAGCCAACAATCTCCGGGTTTCAGGGGAGCTACCGGAGTCCCAGGTCCTTCTGGATCTTTGGAAAGAGGAAAGACCGAGGGTCAAACCAAACAGAAGATCCGAGAATACTGTGAGGTTCTAGTGCCAACACTATAAAACACCAGAATGATCCTCTGGGTACTTTTTTGATCACATAACTTGGCAGTTTAGCTGAAAACAAACACACCCAGCAATCGGTGCCTCCAATTTCCCTGCTTTGGAGTTCCACTTCGGTTCTAACAGATCTGACAGATCAGCCTCTGTCCTGGCCGTCTTGCCAAGGAGGAGACCGCAGAGATGTCAAGATCCCTTCCAATTGCACAATTCTGTTTTTAGATCCACCCAGAACCATCCACTGCATGCGGACATAACCAATACCCAAAAGACAACCTGTGTTGTGATTTCTGCCAGCCAGGTGAGATGCCACTCCTTTAGCCTGAGTGGGAACCCTTTCGACTTGCTAGCAGATGCAGACCCTAGGTGTGAACTGTGAACTTGAATCTTACATGACCCCTGGGATTTACCACTCTTGTCCTGCTGTTAGAATGTTCTGGGTTCCCTCTGCCTACCCAGGACGAAGGTACCTATCTCGTCCATGTCCCCCACTAGACACGAAGGCTTGGAAGGGTCCAGACACTCACCTTTCAATCTAGAGCCCAGTCTGATCTCTTTTCGATAAGTGTCTGACTCACTGGGTTGTCCCGAACTGCCTCATTTCCTGATGTTTTCCAGGAGAGAAGCTGGTGAAGGATTGCACAGAGAGCGCGCCAACGGAATGTGCTTCTTGCAGTAGAGACGAATTCCAAGCCACCTTTAACAAAGAGAGACGCTGTCACCAGCACAAATACTGTGACCCCAGTGCGTGGGCTGCGGGGCAGGTTGCTTGGGAGCAGGGGCTCATGTTCTAGCTCATTCCCGACCATGTAGCCACTCTAGTGTGGTTTTGTTTTACTAGAGAGGGTCCATTCTGAAAGGCTGGCACCTTGGTTGTACTGGTTGTTAAATAATTTGGCTGCTGTTCCTACCTGGAAGAAGGTCTAAAGAAGGAGCAGGTAGTACGAGCAGCGCCCCCATCCTTCTTGCTCATCTCTGCTCAGACCTAGGGCTCCGGGTTCTCGTGAAGGGCACCTTGAAGACAGACACCATTTGCATGTGTGAGGAAGGCCAGCACTGCACCGGCAAAGGCTGTGAGAGATGCTCCCCACACAGCACGTGCTCCCCGGGCTATGGCGTCAAGCAGATGGGTAAGCGCCCCATCAGGGATCAGCTCTAAGGCCAGCACCCAGTAGAGGACCAGGGTCCAGGAAGCAGAGGGAATGGATTGGAGTCGCCAGCCCGCCTCCATTTGGCTGAACAGGACATGGAAACTTCTTGTTCAATTTCCTGCCATGGACCCCTGCCTTGGAGGAGAGGGGGAGGAACCTTCTGGGGGGTGGCAGTGGGAGGAAGGACACACCCCACCGGAGAGCCGGGGGGGCCACCGTGATGACCAGTGCCCTCTCCTCCCTTCCAGCTACAGGGACTTCTGACACCGTCTGTGAACCCTGCGGCGCCGGCTCCTTCTCCAATGTGTCATCTGCTTCTGAAAAGTGTAACCCTTGGACAAGGTATAAAGGCTTATCTCCTAGGAGCGTGGGACCTGCCTCCCTCCCTGGCTACCTGTCCTGAGTCCCAGCCCCTCTCCCCCCCACACACTCTCGCACTTAACAAGCATCTGGAGTAGCCTCGTGGCCCACCAGACGGCTGCAGCTTCTTGCCTGTTCTCTCTTTGTGGTAACAGACACCCCGATGTCTTTCTCCTCAGCTCACCCCCTCCGTAACTGGCTTTCTGGGCCTCGGTTCTAGACTCTACTCTCCAGCCTCTTTGTCTGCCTCTCCTGGCCATTTCCTGTGTCCGTGGCTTCAGCTCCCAATTCCCTCAGATGGTTCCTGATCAGCATCTCCTGTCCAGAGTCATCTCCTGCGTCCCAGGCTGTCATGTCCAACTGCCGACGGTGCCCCTCCACTGGGGTGACCCACAAGCACCTCAGACTCCCCAATTGCTCCCCTTGTCACCCATAAAGGGCTCCACTGTGCCTCTGGGGCACTCTTTCCACGAGCCCCTGCCTGTGGCCTCAGCCCACATCAGCCGCCAGCTCCTGTCCCTCGGCCTTCTAAATGTCTCGGGGCTGCCTCCTCGCTGGGTCCACGGCCACCACTGCACTTTGGGCCCAGTCACCATCACCTTGTCTGGGTGGCGCCTTGGCCTCCTTGCTGCTCCCCCCCCCCCCCGCCTCTCGTCTCTCCCCTTCAGCTGCCTCCCCAGCCTCTCACAGGAGTGTGCTTTCTGTGGGTCGCTTCAAGTCACAGCATTCCCTCCTTAAAATGCCTCGTGGCTTCTGCTGCCCCCGGAACCCAAGCCAGACTCCTTCCCACAGCCGCTGACCTCCCCGATCCTGTTGCTCGCTGCCCCCCAACACCCTGTTCATCCTCTTGCATCAACCTTTTCTGTCTAATACCCTTAAACACAGCCCAATAACCCTTTACATTTTATTCTTAAAAATGGATAAGATAGGCACGCGGGGCAGAAGCCACAAGGGTCACAGTGATGCCTCCCTTTCCCCACGTCTCTCGGCCACCCCTTCTCCCTGGAGGCAGCCACTGCTCACGCGTGTCCTTCCAGAGACTGAAACACACACACACCCACCCCGTCCATACACATGGTATCATCCCATATGAACTTTCTTATTTGTTTACAGCCTCTCTCCAGTAGATTGCAAACGCCTCAAATGTAGAGACTTTTCCCCTCCACGCTGTGCCCCTTAAGCCTAGAATAGCTCCAGGCGCTTAGTAGGCGCAGCACATCTTTACCCATGTCTTTACTGACAAATGTTGGCTGGCAGCCAGAGGTGCCCGGGGGTGCGAGGATTCAGCACCGAGTTCCAGTCTCACTGTAGCTTAGAAAGGGCGTGACCTGGGGGAGGTGTGCGGTGCCTCCTTTGGAAAATGGGGGTGACTTCAGTCTCAGCAGGCTGGGCGGGGACCTGTAAAGGGATCTTGTAAACGCTCACGCACCCTTCTCATGTAAGACGCTTCTCCCACGGGCTTTCTTCCAAGCCCTTCTCTTTCCCTTCCCCGTGGGCTTTTCCTTTGGGATGTCCTTCTCCGGCCCTTCCTCCCCACTCCTCGTGGGGCCACCTCAGGCCAGGTCTGCATCAGCTCATGTTCAGACACCCGCAGGGCCTCCTGGCTGGCCACTTTCCTGAAATTTCTCCTGTGAGCTCGCAGGCCACTGAGTCTTGTCACCACTTAAATCATTTGGTTGGAGGCTGATAGGACTCGCCAGATGAACTCAGGGGAAACCTTCAGGCCCGATTATCAATGATCTGGCACTAAACACCCGGTTTTCGGTTTTCCAACGTTCCCCATCACCTCCTGGCAGGCTGCACACCGAGTTCCTTGCATCACGTTACCCTGCTTCGCGGGAATGCCCCATTGTTCTAAATTTGATAGATTCAGGGCCACTCACATCTTCCTTCCCCGGGGAAGTCTTTCTGGATGGCCCTTAAACCAGAGGTTTTTCAACTGAGCGATTCTTCTCCCCAGGGGACATTTGATAACGTCTGGAGACATTTTGGTTGTCACGACTAGGAAGGGAGAGGCTGCAGGCATCTAGTGGGTAGAGGCCAGGGATGCTGCTAAGCTGCAGGGCCGAGAAACCCTGCCTTAAAGTGTGAAGACCTCATCTCTCAGTTCCAGTCATTATGGGTTTTGTCTCTTCTCTGAATACTCCAGGTTCACTTTCCAATGTCACCAAGCTTGGCCCTCACTGGAAACTCTCTTGTTATTATTCCTTCAAGATGTGCAATACTCTTCTTCTGCACTCACGAGCTCCCTAGACCAGATTTATGTTGTGCCCAGGATGGGCAGCCTGGGCGGGTACATGTCATACATGCTCAGTGAACTTGCACTTGGGGGTGGTTGACTCTCTCTCCCTGAGGTTGGAAATCTTACACTGGGGAAACTGAACATCTCTCTTTTTCCTTCTTTCTCTCTCTCTTTGCGCATGTGTCTGTCTGCAGCTGTGAGGCCAAAGGCCTAGTGGAGCAACAGGCTGGGACTGACAAGACAGATGTTGTCTGTGGTGAGTCCTGAAGAATGGGCCTTGGGAGCAGGCTTGGGGGCTGGGGCCTGGAAGGGGGAGACTGAGGCACACATAACAATTGGGAGGGCAAACGGAAGATGGGGTGAGGCAAGAGGAAAGGCAGTCTGGGGTTACAACATCCCAGCTCTGCCACTTATCCGTGGCTCCTGGACAAGCCACTTCCCTTCTCTGAGCCTCAGTTTCTCCATCTGTGAAATGGGATAACAGAACTCCCCTTAGAAGGCTGGTGTAAGGGGCAGGCAGGGGTTCTCATGCTCGGGAGGGGCTCTTCTGTGCTCTTCTGCCACCTGCATGGTGTGACAAGTTTCCTCCCAGAGCCTCTGTTTTGATTTTAGAATGAGGAGGGGCCTGGCAGCACAGAGCACAGGCTGCAAGCACTGGGCATGTTAATGAGTGAAAGAGGTCAGGGGCAAGAAAGATACACTCTCTTTGCTTTTTCTTGAAATTCGCTTTCCTCTTGGCAGGGCAGGAACTAAAGTGAGGTGAGCAAGGCCCTTGCTTTGGACACAATATTTAAGGGAGTGCCAGGAAAATGCAGTAATTCAGATATGTAACATTTTGATCCAATAGTTAAAGAAATCACAATGCAAAAAATCCATAGTAAACAAAATACTAAAATATTAAAGACAGAATCCAACCTCCCTCACTTGCTTCACCCTATCCCAGCCTCATTGCCAATAAAACTATTGAAAAAGCAGGTAGCTGGCCTGAAGATCACAGTTTGCTGATTTTTCAAAAATGTGACATTGTTATTTCTTATCTTGATTACTGAGGTTGTGTGTGTGTCCCCCTAAATTTTGTCCCAGGCAACTACCTTACTTGCCTTATCCCAGTCTCTGCCCCACCTCTTGATTTTTCTTTCACTTTCCCACTTAGAACAGAGGCTTAGGTACAAGGAATACTTACTTTCCCTTCTTCTATTCCCTCTTCTTCCATCCATCTTCAAGGAAAGGAGCAGGGCAGGCATAAATGATGTTGGACCTTAGTATGGGCAGAGAGTAGGGAGGGCTGGGGAGTGCGGCAAGCAGGTGGCACTGTGCAATTCAGGCTGATGTGCCAAGTGGGCTTGCTGGCTCACTGGGGCCAGAGCTTCTAAATTTCTAAGAGAAATCTGAGTACCTAGATTTTCAACATGCAGTCTCCCAATTTAAAAATGTTGGCTAAAAAAAATGTGCTGATCACTCTACAGATACCTGCGGGCCACCTTTGGCCAGGGACTGCCTGTTTGGAGTGTCTGAGGCGGGTGCCCTCAGAATGGAAGGCTTTTAGCAAAGTGAGCGGCTCCAGCCACGGGGCTGGGGAGCCATTGCTGAAGTTTTGATTTCTCTAGGTTTCCAGAATCGGATGCGAGTCCTGCTGGTGATCCCCATCATCATGGGTGTCGTGCTGGTTGGCCTGTTGGTGTCTGCCTGTATCAGTGAGTCCCTGGGCGAGGAGGTGATGGGAAAGCAAGGGAAGGGGTACAACAGAATTGGACACCTGTTTCCTGATCTGGGCTCACTAACTCTCCTTTTTTTTTTTTCCCCCAGAAAAGGTGGCCAAGAAGCCAGAGGAGGAGGTTGGTCACCCCTGGGAACCAGAACAAAGTTTTAGCAAACTGGGAGGAAAGATAGTCTCCTGGTTGCTGACCTGGCATTAAAACCCACTCGGGGTCCTTCTCTGTGCCCCCTACCCTATACTGACTCAGTGCCAGCTTTTGTCATCTCCAGAGCTCATCTCACCAGAGAGTACCTGGTGCCATGGGCAAAGTCTGATATTTGCTGCTCTCTTGGCATTAAGTACTTGGGGAGCCATGTCTTGGGGGCCTGGGCACAGGGTGGGGGGGGGTGCCAGAGGAACAGCTCCCTGAACCCAATGGCTCCCACTCTGGAAGTTTCTTGACACTGTTGGTGTGGCCAGCAGGGGGCAGGAGGCACCCATGGAATCAGCCTGACCCTCTGGGAAAGGGAAGGCGTCTGGAGGGGGCACTTCCTCCACTAGGAGGGAAGGACCCTCAGAGGTGTTGCTGGGGTAACCACCTACCTTGGCTCCTCAGGTGATCCAACTCAACAACAGTAAGAGTTTGCCGGTGGAGATGGAAGATTCATCTCCTGTGCAGGAGACCTTACATGGGTGCCAGCCCGTCGCCCAGGAGGATGGCAAAGAAAGCCGCATCTCGGTGCAGGAGAGACTGTAAGGTGGCAGGTGCCCTGGTGTGGGCAGATGGGCACACGCCTGGAGAGCCTAGAGTTGCTGCTGCTGCGGAGGGAGGGCGAGCGGCTGGCACTGGGTCAGCCTCGCCCCACCTGTACCCGTGGTTTGAGAAAGGAACCCTAACACAGGTTTCGGGGGGAACCTCTCACCTGAGCAGTCTCCCGACTTGCTTTTAAAGATGGAGGCAGATCATTTGAGGGGGGGAGAGGACCACATGGTAATACCCACCAGGCCCTCTGAGCCAGCGGTACCGTGCCCAGAGACGGAGACAGGGATTCCTAGGAGCCGGGAGAGACTTGCACCCCGTATCATCACAGCAGCGCCTGGGGCAGTGACTTACTGGAAGCTCCGTACCTGTCCACCAACGGGGGCTGGCGAAATAAAACTGTAATCTATTTGTACAGCAGAATCTCAAAATCACTGTCGTGGGGGGAAAAAGGTGGCAGGATGGTGGGTACAGAAGCCTTTTTTTTTTTTTAAAGCACGTGGCCCCTAATAATATAATGTATCCGGTGGACCTGTATCTAAACATGGTGTGCGTTCTCTATGTGGGTGTCCCAGGGTTCTGGAAGGATACACAGCTCAAAGCGTTGTCGTTCTGGGATGGGGAAGAAGACGAAGGGGAGGTGTGGTTAAAGGCCGACTTGACTTTCCCATAAGGCTTCATCTTTCCCCCGCAAAAGGAGAGTGACTTCACATAATGCTTATGTAATTAAAAAGGCATCATCTATGTAAAAAGCAAAATGAGGGTGGACATGCTCGGTAACATGAGCTGCTAAACTCACCGTCAGGCTCACAGCGTTAGGGCACTTTCGGAGGAGAAATAAGAATGTCCCCAGCCTGCTGCCCCTCCAGGGGGGTTTCTGTAGACACATCATCCCTGCAGAGCCTTCTTCCCATGGGATTCATGTTCACCGAACGGCCTGTGGGGTCTTTAATAGAGGTAGAAATGGAGGCCCAGAGAGGTGATGTGACTTGCCTGTGGCCACACAGCAGTGGGCAGTGGGCCTCGGGCCTCAGAGCGTCCTGCTCTGGGTCTTGTGCTCCTTCCAGACCTGGCTACATCTGTTAACTCCTTCCTGGGGGCTCCTGGCCTTCCCACCTCCTTGTGACCTCCCAACTGCTTCAGGAGCGGCTGCTTCTTGGTCAGATGGTGCCCCCTTCCCCCCAGCAGTATCTTAGGATAAAAATAAACCATCCTGTTCTCTTTTCCTGCTGTGCCAACTGAGGGGGAGCCTAGCCAGGAGGAGCAGCAGATGGAGTGGGAGCAGAGGGGATGGGAGGGGAGGGAAGGGAGGAGGCAGAGCAGTGCAAAGCCGTGGCAGAGAGACTCGTGGCACTGAGGAGGCCAGGCTGATTTAGCCAGGGGTCCTCCCCCCAGAAGCTGCTCTGGAATTCCCAGTGTAATCTGCTGCCCGGAGGGTGGGGGTGGGGGTGGAGCGATTTTGTCCCTGATGGAGGCTGTGAGGGCAGCTGGGAGCCAAGAGAGGGGCACCTGGCTTGGCACACCTCCCAGGAGCGCTTCCAGAACCATTTGGATGTACCAGGTGGAGATGTTTCATTTAGAAAATGGAGCAAAATGGTGGTGATGGGGGTGGGCCCTCGCCCTCACCTCCTACCTAGAGTCTAAATGCTCCTGGGACTCATTTCAAGCACGGCACTATGGTGGGAAGACACAACATAACCACCCCTGCCACTTACTCATCTGGGTGACCTTGGGTAGGTCACTTCCACTGCTCAACTTTTCATTTCTTCGTCTGGCAAAGGGGAGACAATACCTGTGGCTTTGGGGGGTGTATGTTACGACTAGGATGCTCTCGCCGCCCCCTTTGTTTGCACCCAGGGCAGAAGGTCTCCGTTGTCCCATGTTTCAGAGCCCCTGCCGGACATGCTAGATAGTGCTGGGCCCACTGCCTGGGTCTCTGGTCAGTAGGTCTGGGGTGGTGCTCACGAATTTGCATTTCTAGCAAGTTTTCCAGGTGGTGCTGATGCTGTGGTCTGGGGACCACACTTGGAGAACTACCACCCTTTGCGTCCATATTTCTCTATGAACAGCCGGTCTCCTGTGGCAGGCATTGAGATTTCCTTGGTCTTGAAAACACGCGTGGTGCAGGGGAGATGTACCTGGGGAGTAATGTCCCAGAATGCTCAACCAATCAGGCAAGAAAGCCTCCTTGGCCTTGGGGTGGGGTGTGGAAGGGGGGATATCTGAGTGTGTTCTGTCCTGTCTCCTGGGATCCCTCGAGGGACCAGGGCCCTTCTGCCCTGGCTCCCTTCCCTTCCCTGTCCACTCTCCCACCGGCTGCTCCTGCTTTGGGGTTCAACTCCTCAGTAAACCACCTGCCTTCGTGCCTTGTCCCAGAGCGCTTCCAGGAGAAGTCACCCCTTAGAGTCAGCCGGGTTCATGCATGAGCAGGTATGATTTTGTGTATCAGCGTCTTGACAAAGAGGAGTTGCTATTCTTGGCAGCTGTAGCAAGTTCTGGGTTCCGAGTGGAGCTCAGCCAAGAGCTTTCTGCGTGACCTTGGCAAAGTTACTCTCTGGTGGTGGGTGTTGCTGGGACCCCACTGAGGCCTAGGGGTCCTGCCAATTCTAAAAATAAACCAAGAGGATCAACCTACTGTAGGGTCTGCTCTGGCCAGTATGGGGGGATGGATGTGAGGCGTGTGTCAGCCGGAAGGTGGCGCCAAGGCCACGTCCAAAGGGACTTATGGCTTCTTGGACACCCGTGTGAAGCTGGCTTTACCCTCAAGCCACATCCTTCCCTTACTTCCCTCGGCCCCATGGCCGGAGCCTCTGCAGCCTCTACTCTGTGACTTCATCAGTCCCCTCAGTGTCCCCTTCTCCGCTCCTCCTTCCTTTCACAAGCCTCACCTCTTGCATCCTCAGCTAGGGCTCGGCACGGGGACTGCTGGGAGAGTGTGTGGACCCTGTGCCCACTCTGTGCCAGGTGCGGCTCTGAGAGCTTTCCATGCCTGTCTTAGGAGAGCCCCACCGAAGGCATGGGTCTCAGAGGCTCAAAGGCTAAATGACTTGTAAAGGTCTGAGAGTTAGAGCTGGGATTTGGGACCTCATTAGATTGACCCAAAAGCCTGTAGCTTTTCCCCCACCCAGAGAGCAGGGAAATAGGTACATATAACAGGAAAGGTCATGGGAGAGACCAGGGCAGAGGGGAAGCCTGAGAGGCGGCTAAGCTCTAGGGGAGGGGTTGCAAACTCGCATCCATGAGGGCCAGGGCAGCGCAGGGCAGGGCAGGCCAGGTCAGGCCAGGCCAGGCCTGGAGCAGTCAGTAAGGCAGAGGCTCTGCCCAACTTGGGGTGGGGCAGCATGTAGCAGTTTCATCCCTGGTTGCCCTGAAGCAATGGGAGCTGTGTATAGCTTGGAATCCAGATTTCTAAAGGTCCTGATGTTTAAATGCTACCAGTTCCTGGCATCAAAACCACCAGGAAAGCTGAGAATGCATGGCATAGAGGGCCAGGGCTTAAGCAGACAGGGGGCTTCAGGCATCTGCTTTTTGTTTTATATATGGGGAAACTGAGGCCCTGGGAGGATCCAGCTGAGTTAAGTCATGTGTCCTAGGCAAGTTGTCTGCTTCTTCAGAACCCAGTGAGAGCCCTTTGGGGCTTGGGTCCCGCAGGTGCCTTGGCTATGGGGGGTTGAAGGTGCCAGGACTGGGGTGCAAGGGCTGAGCTGGGTGTAGAAGTCCTCTGAATTCTACCCCATATGGGCCACTCCCAGCCCCCCAGGCCTGTGCACACCTCCCCTCCCCCATGCCCTCCCCTTAAGCTGTCAGGGCCCTGCAGTCGATTCCTTGGGAACAGAAGTTATTAAAGACTCTGCCCCGAAGGGTTTCTCTCCCCCAGAGTGATTCTGGCACAGAAAATTACAAACCCACCTGCAGGGGTGGGGAGATACAGTTTTAATTTGAAAAAAAAAGAAAAAAAGAAAAGAATCCCATGCTGTGGTCCTGGAGTCTGGGGTGGGGGAAGCTCACAGGCAGAGGGGGCTCTCCTGGGACCTGCAGCCAGGCTGGGGGGCTCCAGAGGGCTCAGTAAGCCCTGTGAGCAGCTTTTGCTCAAACAGGCAAAAGGGGGCTCTCCTCCTCTCTTCCTCTCCCCTGCCCTGTCCCCAGGGCTCTCTGCCTCTCTCCCAGCCGACTGGCACATCCCGCTGGGCCTTGGCGCTGGCAGCTCCCAGCCTCCTCCCTGCAGGAGTCCCTCTGCTGTCTCTGCCCACCCTCTGCGGTCTCTGCCTGTCCCTCCCAGCCTTCCGCCTGGCTCCCTGACCACCACTACGTTCCCTTCTCCCACAATTCCATCTCTCTCTTGCTCTCCTTTGAATAAGTGTTACTGTTTGGGCTAATTATGGGTAAGTCATACCTGTGCATCGCACCCCCTTCCGGAAACAAGAAAACGAGACCCCCCGTGAGCCTCCCACCAACCACAAGCTACAGGTCCCTCCAGACTTCTGCTCTGTGCCAAAAAATATTTTTTATACTTGGGCTATTATTACTCTGTTTCATAAGCAGCCTTCCGTGCTTGGCAGCCTCTGGGGGGTGTCTTCCTGCCAATAAATATAGATCGACTACATGCTTTTTAATTGCTGCATAGAATTCCATTGTGTGGGAGCCCCATTCCTGGAAGGACTCGGCTGGACGCTGGTGTGGGTTCCCTCTTGTCCCTCTTTCTCGTCCTGCTCCCCACCCCCAGCCTCTGCCGCCTTCCTCTCTCTCCACCCTTCCTTGCCCACCTCCCTTTTCCTCTCCGCCTCTCCCCTCAGGCCTTCATCCCTACCCTTAGTTTCTCCCCTGCACACCCCACTCTTCCAGGACATCTCTGCCCCCCCCCATTCCCTCGCTTGCGGAGGGGTGGGGGTCATTGCAGTTTAACACCTGCTCCCCGTGTCAGACATGTGCCGACTCATTAGTGCGCCTGTCCCCCCAAGTGAGGCAGGCAGGAGCCACAGTGGAAGCAGAGGCCTAATTGAATGTAACTAATTATTCACTCCCTTAAATGGGCCTGGGAGGGACAGAATTACTCACTCTGAACTGGGAGACAGGGAACTGGCCGCCTGGCAAGCAAATCCCGGGGCCTGTGGAGCCAGCTCTCCTCGGAATACTAATTAGGGCAGGAGTGACAAGGGGATAAAATCAGAGCAGAGCCTCTGTGCCCCTCCTGGAGCTGGCAGGCTGGAGAAACCTATCCCCAAGTGCAGGTAACTGACCCACCCCGGACCCCAGGGAAGGGTTAATGGGGGGGGGGGGGGCTTGGGGAAATGAAATGCGGAGACTGCAGGCTGAGGTGGGGGTTGTTTGGAAGGGGAGGGGCAGGAGGCACAATGCCTGGAGGGCAGGCCCTGTGGGTGCCAGGGCACCCAGCTGGCATCTAGAGGGTCCCCTCCTGCACTGCTTAAAGATGCCTGAGCCTGCAGGCAGCATCGCAGTGCCCACTGGCACCCGCCAGCACCCGCCACACCTCAGATGGGGACCACTGAGGCTCAGACAGGGGGTGCGTGGAGTCCAAAGTCAGAGGGCCTCTGTGGGCGGAGCTGGAGGGCCTCACAACCCAGAGTTACCCTGCCTCATCCCTGACCTGCGTCTGTGCCATTGGGGGGTGATGCGGGTAGCCCAGCATCAGTGTCTTTAGAGTGTCTCTGGGGATTCCAACATTCAGCCAGGACCTAAAACCATTTAACCCTCAGTTTGCTCTGTGAGACTTGTCTCTGAATTCATATTGTTT